CTGACAGTGAGAACAATTAACCAGTGGAACAACCTGCCTCCAGAAGCGGTGAATGCTCCAACACTGGAAGTTTTTAAGAAGAGACTGGACAGCCATTTGTCCGAAATGGTATAGGGTTTCCTGCCTGAGCAGGGGGTTGGACTAGATGACCTTCAAGGTCCCTTCCAACTTTACTATTATTATTATTATTATTATTAATCTCCATATATTCTAATTATTTGCATTATGATATAATCCAAATATACTTACAAGAGAAGGGTTCATAAACTGTCCTTTCTTTGATGTGAAACAAGCAGGATTCTGTCACCAATTATGTGAATTTCTCCTAGGGAAAGAGAATACTCATTATGAAATGAATTGTGTTGCCTGCAACTTTAATTGTATAATCTGTTTTATTGCCCAAAGGACGGAATGACATTTTTGTATAGGAAGATACAGAAGTTGTTTGTTTTGGAAGGATGAAATGCAGTAATCCCCTGCCTTTTTGAAGAATTTCTTATGAGCTGTTACATATGCTCTGTTTCTGACTGCTAAAGATTTTGACATTTTCACAAAAGAGACCTCTTCTCCATGAATAGTTTTTCCCTTGTGATGCTTGATCTATAGCAGTGTTTCTCAACTTTAGAAACTTTAAGCTGGAAGGCTGGGGAAATCTGGGAGTTTAAGTCCCACTCATCTATTCTAGAAACTCTAGGAAGAGTACAGAGCAGACCTACAAAGCTGATTAGGAAACTGGAGGCTAAAACATATAAAGAACGGTTGCTGGAACTGGGTATGTCTAGTTTAATGAAAAAAAGGACTAGGACATGATAGCAGTGTTTCAATATCTCAGGGGCTGCCACAAAGAAGAGGGAGTCATGCTATTCTCCAAAGCATCTGAAGGCAGAACAAGAAGCAATGGATGGAAAGTAATCAAGGAAAGAAGCAACCTAGAATTAAGGAGAAATTTCCTGACAGAACAATTAATCAGTGGAACAACCTGCCTCCAGAAGTTGTGGGTGTTCCAACACTGGAAGTTTTAAAGAAGAGACTGGACAGCCATTTGTCTGAAATGGTATAGGGTTCTTGCGTGAGTAGGGGGTTGGACTAGAAGAACTCCAATGTCCTTTTCAACTCTGTTGTTATCTTAAAAGTTGCTAAGGTTGAGAAACACTGGTCTCTAGTAAAAGTACATGCCTGCTGTCCTTTTGCATGTAAAAATTATGGCTGCAACCCTATAAACACTGGATTGTGTATAAACACTGAATTAAGTAAGGTCCACTGAATTGAGTAGACAGATACCACATAGAATGCATTGTAGAGCCATTTGCAGCTACAGCCCCGTGCAGGGAAGTGGATCTGCTCATAGGATTAATTGCTTGCTAGTGGTAACACTATTTTAAAACCAAAACAGCTAAAGATGACCTAAGCCTATATCACTGATGAGATGAGAACAACGATGAAGGAAATATTGTGGGTTCATAACAAAATAACGAAGTTATCAGATTAAGTTTATAATGTTGTCCAATGCCCAACTGTATACATGTTTATAAAATACCCAAGCAAATCATATTTTAAAAATGTTGAAACACTCTTCTGTTATGGAAAGATTCGTCTAAAATCTTATGATAACAGCAGATTCCAGAATTGCTTTTAAACAACAACAAAAAAGAATCATTGTACTATACTATACATAGGAAGGAACATTCCTCGAGAGACGAACAAAGCTCCTTTCCGTTTACGCAACCCGCCTTAAAATATGACCCCAACCTTCACCACGTGAAGTCGGGTGCTCGTCGTCTGAAGCCAGAGTTCTCCGATTAGAAAAATCATACGAAATGTTTCGGCTCTCACCCCATCTCTTCCAATTTCTTTGCAACGAGACCCTGCACCTCCGAAGCCAGGCGCCGGCTCATTCGTTCAAACATTCGTTCAAATCCCGCGCTCGATGCCGCCGCCGCTGCTCCCGGACCCGGAAGTGTCGCAGCGCAGGACGGGGCGCTTCGTAGGGCGCCGAGGGAAGGTCAAATGGCGGCGCTGCTGGGCGGGCTGCCCTTTTTGGGCTCCGCGGCCGGCAGGCAACGTGAGTCGGAAAGGTTGTTGGGAGGGTGGAAACCTGACTGGGTTGGTGATGATCTCCGGGGAAAAGGCAGCAGGCGGCGGCAACGGAAGATTTGGAATGCCGTGTTCCAGTGTGTGAAGTTACGGGCAGGAATTCAGCGGCGGGGGGAACCTCGGGGGGTGGAGGCTTTGCTTGGTGTAGCCCAGGGGTAGGCAACCTTGGCTCTTTTATGACTCGTGGACTTCAACTCCCAGAATTCCTGAGCCAGCCATGCTGGCTCAGGAATTCTGGGAGTTGAAGTCCACGAGTCATAAAAGAGCCAAGGTTGCCTACCCCTGGTGTAGCCAATCTTCCTTTCTCCTGCAAATGGGTCAGAGGGATATGTTCCTAGGGGTTCATGCACAAGGTTTGCAACTGAGTGGCCGGCGATCCTTTGCAGAAGTTGGTGCATTTCCCCCCACCCACCCCCGTCGCCATCCGCGCTTAAGAGCGAGCCTGGAAAGAGCCCTACAAAGGTTGGGAAGCCTGCTTGATCTGCTGGGCTATGTTATGAAGGATTCTACTAAAATGATTATTATTGCTCTCTTGGGGAATTCGGTCGTCTTCCTTCACTCGTGTCACAACTCACAAAGTGTTGCTTTAGTTAAATGTCTATGGAGATTCTCAGTTATCCAGGTCATAAGTTACCGGTATCCCAAAGATGCTTTTAAAGAAGCTTCTTGGATGAGAACCGAAAGGTCTTCAAAGAAAAACAAAGTCCAGTTGCCCCATGAAAAAGCATCCTTGGGATGAGGTGTGTGGTTTTAATGGTGCTATGGCTAGGCTTCATCAGCTTTTAGAATCTAGTTTGTTCTGTCTTTTTTTTTTAGTTCTGGTACAGGTAATCCTCAACTTATAACCCTCCATTCAAAGTTAGAGCGGCACTGAAAAAGTGACTTACGACCATTTTTCACACTTATGACCATTGCAGCATCCCCATGATCATGTGATTACAATTTGGATGCTTGGCAACTGGCTCATATTTATGATGGTTGCAGTATCCCAGAGTTATGTGATCACCCTTTATGACAAGCAAAGTCAATGGAGAAGACAGTTTCACTTTACAGCTGGGTTACTAACTTAACAATTGCAATGATTCACTTAACAACTGTGGCAAGAAAGGTCGTAAAATGGGCCAAAACTCAGTTACCAATTGTCTTGCTTAGTCACAGAAATTTGGGCTCAATTGTGGTCGTAAGTCGAGGACTATCTGTACAGCAATCCCTCTCTCTCAGTTCTTGAAGGATGGTAAAGGCAAATCATGTCTGAAAAACTTTGCCAAGAAAACTGCAGGGATTTGTGCAAGCAGTTGCCAGGAACCAACATTGATTTGAAGGCACACAAACAGACTTAGACACATGGGGGAGAGTTCAGGGCTCATCTGCTTCTCCCCAATTTTTTGTTCTCAGGTCTGTGGTCGGATCTTTTTAAAGGTCTGATAGATACTATTGCATTGTTATTAAATGTCTAGCTTTAAAAGAAATTGAATTTCCTGCATTATTGTAAATGTATGCACTTAGTATAAAATACAGCCGCGGTGGAGTTGCACTTAACTATGGGTGTTGCATTTGGTTGCCAAGGAGCTGTCTTTAGGAACAATTTGACTGAATAATCAATAAACTTATAAATTAATAATTCTGAGTGTTTGATTGCACCTCTGTGGCTTGGCACTTTGCTACTTGCATGATTCTGTAAAATCTACCTGTCCAGCATCCATGTCCTAAATAGGCTGCTGAAGGTTACTACCCCAGAAAAGTTCAGAAATGTTTTGCTGGAGTTTGCTGCTTTTTAGTTGTGGAACAATCTCCCCAACCTGAAATCTGGAAGATTGAACTCTCCTGATATTTTGTTTTATTTTAGAAAAGCTGTTAAAACTAAGCTTACTAAACTAAGCTGTAGTTATTTCAGATCGTCTTGAACATGGTTTATGGCTGAATTGATTTGCATTTTGGACTGGGAACTGCTGGCTCTTAGCTCACACTTTTTATTATCACACTAATAATTGGAACCTCTTGCTTTCTTCCCCTTCCTGTAACAGTTTTGCCTGTTCCCACACTCAGTGCAACTGTAGTAAGATTTGCATCCAAAAAAAGCGGAGGCAGCACCAAAAATCGTGGAGGGAACAGACCTGGGAAAAGATACGGCTTCAAAAAATTAGATGGTAAGTTTCTTAATCACTGTACTGCAGTTTCTGATTATTATTATTAACAGCCCATCAACAAAAACAGTTGAAAAAAAAATCACCCCAGATTAATTTTCTTGCTCTTTGGTATCAAACATGGACTATACTGATTGAAGGGCCTTTGTTGATTGAAGAATCTTCCCCTTCCTCTTCCCTTTGTTCCATCCAGTTTTGCCATTTCAGCCATCTTTATTCTTTTTAATTTTGGGGGGGGGGTTCTTTGTTTTTGAATATTTTTACCTATTTGTAAACTGCCTAGAGTGGCTGGGAGTTGGGCAACAGATAAAATTTAATGAAGTATTATTTTCATCTGTTTACAACAGTGAAATCACAGCTGCTAGTTCTTTAGCTGGTATTGGCCTTCATATGCATCAAATCTTTCCTGAGAACTAGGCTGTTCTAATGTCTCATATGTGCAGATTTAAGCAATGTGGCTTTCTGTAATTGACAGATGGAAATTTTGTCAATGCATTGACATATTAAGTACCACTTATGGTTTGTTGCACAGTCAGCCAGATATTTAGACTGGATTTGGCATTTTTAGCCATCTATTGATTCCCAAGGACCTGGGATAGGGAGATGTTATTTGACAGTATTAAAGGTATTGTTGCAGGATGTAAATTGTTCTAGATAGAACCAATTGCCTTTTGCAATTGATGAATATTATTTGGGCATCTGGATATTCCTGTATTATGCCTGTCAACTATCAGACAGCCAGTAGGTGGTAGAACTGCAATAGTTTAGAATTCTGCCTATTTATTGCAGAATATAGGTCCACTATTTAAAATTAGTGCTTACATTCTGTACATTTTTCTTTAGAATATAACTTGGGGGATACAATAGGGAGAATCTAAATAAATTAAGTGAAAGGTTCTGAGCTGTCTTATCAGGTTTACATAATACATAATTGGAATAAGCCAAATCAGAAGTGATGTTGGTTGAGCTTGACTCTTGGCACATCATATCATTCTCTTGATAATAGTACTGAGGTGATTTTGTCAATCACCTTCCTCCAGGGTGTTTGCCAACTTTCACATTTTGGCTATAACTCTGACATTCCCTGGTGGTCTACCATCTCCCAACACTAAACAGACTCCAGGATTGTATTTGCCAAGCCCTGGAAAGGAAAAAAGATGCCAATTGTTGAAGAATGGATCTTAAAATTGGCTGAATTAGCAGAGATCGTGAAGCTAACTGTTTTGATTAGAGCAGGGGTCCCCAGCTCCCGGTCCATGGACCAGTACTGGGCCGCGGCATGCCAGCAACCGGGCCGCACAAACAAGCAAAGCTCCAATCGTGGGATGCAGGCAGCACACCAACCACGCACCCTCTGGTCCGTGGAAAAACCTCTTTCCATGGAACCTTCTGGTGCCCAAAAGGTTGGAGACCTCTGGATTAGAGATAATGGACTAGACAGCTTTATAAGGAGACTTTGTGGACTTTCTATGTACACAGAGGGATTGGAAGAGGGATATTTGGACTAACCTGTTGACTGTTGACTGTTTTTTCTTTAAAAATTTTTTACATATATATCAGTGATGGCGAACCTTTTAGGGACCGAGTGCCCAAACTGCAACCCAAAACCCACTTATGCATCGTCGGGTGCCAGGTGGGTGTGGCCCATTGGGTGGGCGTGGCCCATTGGGTGGGTGTGGCTGCAGTGGTAACAGCAGACTGGTTGGGACTAAAAAGTTCAATCAATCAATTCCAACTTTGCAAGATCTTTTTTTTCCCCACGAGAAGTTGAAATTGACTGATTGATTGAACCTTTTTTTTTGTACAAGGCGGTGGAGGCCTAAAGCGAAAAGGTTTTATAAAACCCAGCTGAAGGCGTAGGATTGGGGCGACGGTGTGCGTGCCCATAGAGAGGGCTTTGAGTGCCGCCTCTGGCACCCGTGCCATAGGTTCGCCACCACTGATATATATTATGACAGAAGTTCGGTCGATTTGATTTTCAGATAGAAATCCTCTCTTCTGGAATATTTGTTTATTTAATATAGTATTCTCGTTAAATAGGGTTGGGAAAGTTTATAATTATTTGTAGATCTGTTATGTAAAGGGGAGGAGAATTTATTGATTGATTTATTTATTTTTCCAGTATCCAGCCAGGGTGGTTTCTTTATGTTTAATACTAAATTTATTTGATATTTGGATCATTTCCCTCCCTTTTTGTATACATTTTTTTTTACTTTTTGTTGTTGGTGTTGGGATATATGGTTTTCTGTTTTGTATTTTATTCTTGTTGATAAAATAATTTTTTTAAAAAAACTAGCCAGACCAAGCCCTGATAACTTCCTTACAGGCCCAGAATGTTCTACGTAAGTTGCATAGCCAGATCCCAGATTTCTTCATCCTTCTCATACAAATACAAAACAATTTAGTGTTATCATAGTTCTCATATGGCTGTTTAAACCTCTCCATGGTCAGATGACCAAAATTATATGATAGTTGCAGCATCTCAAGGTCTTGTGATCACCATTTGTGACCTTCCCAGCTGCCTTCTGACAAGCAAAGTCAACGTGGAAGCTAGATTATTTTAACAACCACATGATTTACTTAATAACTGCAGTGATTTGCTTAACCACCACAGCAACAAAGTTGTAAAATCGAGGCACAAATCACTTAACAGCTATCTTACTTAGCAACCGACATTCTAGTTCCAATTGTGTGGTTGTAAGTCAGAGACTACCTGAACTTGAATGTGGATTCAGGATTACAGAAATGGAACTCTTTTCCTTCTTTTTCTCTTGGTAATCTCAAGATGGCAGTCTGCACTAAGTGGAGAGAGTATTTGGTCAATTAATGTATGAATTAGGAAACCCCTAAGTTAAACTGAGGCTCTTCTGATAAATCTCTTTTGAGAAAATACCTTGGATATGTGTAGAGTGATGTTACTGCTAGAAAGCCTCAGCCAATCAGATTAAGTAAAATGAGGGGTACGACTCTCAAGGCTTGAGTCTCAGATCGTTCACCTTTGACCTCTTCTGCAATGGGCCCCATTTCATGAGAAGGAATGTTAAAGTAAGTTGCTCTGTTGTGCTCCATTTGTATTCAGCTAAAATGCACTCAAGCTGTCTTGTTTCTGAGGTTTAATTACTTTAACTCATTTACAGGACAATTTGTTCATGCAGGCAACATATTGGCCACCCAGCGTGTGATTCGGTGGCATCCGGGAGCTCACGTAAGATGTTCTCTTTGTTATTTCAAATATCACTTAATTAAGACTTGATTCCATTTTTATCAAAGCATCTGTTTCCTTGCCTTATTCTAAATTATCTTGGCATTAACCATTTTTCATTATGGTCTGCCAAACCTCTTGGCCTCGTTTTTTTTATTATTTTTCAAGATTCTTTCTCTCATCTGAGACAAGAATAAAATTCTTTTTTTGATCTCTCTTGCTATGAAAGTGCTGACACTAATAACCAGAAACTGGAGTGTCTCTCCCACCCTGATTAGAGTTTCACAGACATTGAACCACCCTCTTTATATTTAGTAAAAATCCAGACCCAGTATAGTTGCAATATGAAATACCAGATTATGTCAGATACACACTGGAAATTCATCTTCATACCTGGGAGAAAAAAACCTATAGAATACTTGAAGTGAGGCAAGAGGAACATAGGAAAGTGCATTATGGTGCATTGGATGACTTCAGATCACCTGGGGGGGCGGGCGGAATCAAGTTGTGAAAAAGAATAATCAGGCATTTCTTTATCTTGATCCATAGCACAACTTGCATATATTTTTGTAATCAGTGCCTTCTAAGGAGAAATGCTTGCTTACCTAGAGGCCAAGTCCATCCCACGAAGTAACTGGGCAAAATGATATCATATAAAATTGGGCTTGCTGGAGATACCATCTTTAAGACTGAAATTATCTTCAGCCGCTTCTGGATGTGAAGAAATCAACTGTCGCCCAACATTTTTGGGGCTTACAAGCTGACATTTATCTTATTCAGCTGGTGCCAAACCAGATTCAGGCTAATGGGTTCAACTGTGACATTATTAGAACTCCAAAACACACCATCGGGAGCAGGTGCCAACAAAAGCTGGCGGCACAAGGAGCAGATGTAATTGGTTTGCAAAGAGACAAATTACTGAGGGTGAATTTGTGGATTGGTTTCCGAATGTTTTGTTACCAGGCTAGGTAACATCTTCAGTGGAGTTTCATGGATGTCGTTGCGAGTGTTCTTCTGTTCACCTCCCAATGACCTGACCTGATGTAACCTCCCCATCACAAGCCTCTCACTGAAGACCCTCACTTGACATACCCACACCTGAAGCCCTTATAAACAGAACACTGATACTCCCTAAACTCCACTGAAGATGTTACCTAGCCTGGTAACAAAACATTCAGAAACCAACTCACAAGTTTGGAGAACGGACCTTCACTCTCATCCTACATCCGGGCTACAGATATTCGCCACTATTGCAAACAAATTACTTGCTACATCCCATGAACCAGGTATCCCAGGTTACAAGGGTAAACCCTACTAGAGGAGGGATTCTGAATTTAATTTGCAGAAGTGTCTTTTGTTTCTGTAAGTAACTGGAATCCTGCAGTTTCACTTTGACATCTTTGCATTATGCTGTATCATTCTGGTGATAGTGATGTCTTTCTTGCACAAGCAATTGTGCTTTAGTTTAGCACACAATTGGCAAACTGTACCAGTGTCTGAGAACTGCTGGCAGTCCCAATGATAGGCACTGCCTGCGCTCTGATCCAGAGGCTGCTTTTTCCTTTCTTTAATTATGATTCTGTCTCTCTGTCCCAGGTGGGGATGGGCTTCAACAAATGGTTGTATGCTCTTGAAGATGGAATTGTGAGGTTCACTAAAGAAGTCTATGTACCTCCTGCCCGCGGCAAGGAAAGCCGAGAAGTGATCTGCCGGTTGCCCAAAGGAGCTGTGCTATATAAAACTTTCATCAACGTTGTTCCTACCGGAGAAGTGGGAAGTTTTAAGTTGATCACCATGATCTGAGAGCTAGTTCTGAATGACTTTTGTTTAGTCCTCTGCAGCTGGGAATGAAACAATATTTGGAGCAACTATAGCATATCATACAGAGATATGCTTTTAACACACAGCTCTGATGTGATGCTGATGAAAGATAGTATTTTTTTTCCAAAACACAACAGTAGTACTACTGCTGCTTACTTCAGAGGAACTATCTCGAGCTAATTCTTTACTCTTGGGGTAAAAGCAGATGCTGGAGGTAGGTTTCCAATTTAAGAGTGTCCTTAAGCATTCTCAGCAGATTTTGTAACCAGCATGTCTACCTACAGACATATGAAATTATTTCTTCCCAACTTTAGCGCGTCACAATTTGTACACATTGTAATATCATTATTTGTACATTATGCCAGTGTATGCACACAATAAACTTTTGCAGTGTTGCCTGCTATGTACCAAACAGATGTGCAGCTGCTATAGATGCAGTCTAGCAGGAAGTTCCTATCCCAGCTTAATCCTTATCCAATGTGTCAAAGTAGTAATCAGTTTACACAGCGTTTTTATACATAATGAAATTTCTTTGGTGTTGGCTTGGCTTAGTGCATCGTGTGGATCCAGCCAGGTGGTTTGAAAACCATAGATTATGGCATTACATGTGAACCATAGTTATTACTTAGAACCAAGTATGGTTTCAGTCCCAGTTATATAGCATATGACTATTTGGGAAACTTTTATAACAATACATAATTCAAACTTTATTGCATTAAAAGGAGGAAGCAAGATTACTTGATTGTTTAGACTAATTGCAAATTTGGCTTATGGTACCTGGGTGGAACTTGGTCTCTAGATAATTTTTCTGTTAAAGACTCATTACTTTGAAATTATTTTACAGTGGTGACTGTCTTGCCGCTATTAAAAAAAAAATCATGTCCTTAATATATGACATTGCAATTCCAGACCTTGGATATATTTCTTTGTCACTGTGACCAACTGAAACAGGTGACCTGAGAAACGGTCCACAGCATAGCATAAAGTAGACAATCAAAATTATAGAAGGGATGGGATGAAATTCCATGGCAAGGTCTTTGTTTCAGCTTGCTTTCTCCCGTGAAATCTGAAAACTTTAATGCCTGTGTCTTCAGGCAGCCACATACAGTTCTAGTGCTTAGGTGACAACCTTCCTTGACCTTGACCATTAGCCACATTTGCTGGAGCCTAAGAAGTTAAGAGTTTAAACATCTGAAGAGTGCAAGGGTGCCCGTTCCTTTCCAAATCACACTATTCAGCCAGTCTCATACTTTGTTGGCCCCTGCTTTTTGGATTGAAAAAAATGTATATTGTAAATTTAGGGCTTGTCTTCACTGGGAAAATAGTCGGTCTAATCAGCCTGTACTGTACATACTTAGAATATGAAATGCAATAGTGCTAGCTTTCATATGCATTACAGGCACATTTTTTTTTTCATGTTTCATTGACAAATGCACAATCATCAGATTCACATGTCCCACTGATCCCAAAGCAAACAAGCCGCATTTTGACGGTGTTCTGAGAACTCAATCAGTGAATGCCATGGCTAACACTAGATGAGGTGAGTTGTTTTAGCAGATTTGCTTCTCAAGATCTGACGTAAAAATAAGTCTGGCTGACTTCACATATCCCAACAAGCCAAAATGTGATTATTCAATAGTTCACGGTGACTGGCTTCATGTTCCAATCTGAGTTGAAGCTCTTTTATAGCTTTATGCAGTGTGTGAAGCCAGCAAACTGGAGGCCCATTGGTGCTAGCAATGTCCACACCCTAATCGCCATCACTTCCTTCTGTTTTTTACCTACAGATACGTAGCTGTAGTTCTAACTAAAGTTCAAGTAAATCATTCAACAGGCTATGGAACTCAAGACAGTAATTAGCTGTATAAATACAGCATGCTAAGCCGCAGTGTGATTTCTTTGGTTTTGGCTAATTGGGTCATGGCCTGTTCCAACAAACCATGGGTAAAACAAAGGTTTCATGTAATGTATGAACCAAGCTGTTAAAGGAAAGCCTACTTGCCTTTAAATGTGAAATACAGTAGTACAAGTACACTGTTGGGGGGGAAGGTGTTAGGAGCACAGAAACATAAATTTACTAAAGCTACCTTTTTATGTGTTAGCCATATAAAGTGTTACATCAACTGTCCTTAAAATAAAACCTGAATACAAATATACCTGAACTCACATCTGTTCTTTTCAATCTCACAGACAGGAAAGGGTAAATAAGTAACTTCATTCTGGTAGACTGTAGAAGAAATCCCAAGCATTTCCCAATTAGATTAATTTTCATTGATGGCATTAGGAACATTTGGAGTGATTATTGGTCAAACAGAAACAAACAAAAATCTGCCCCCAAATCCAAACAAAAAAAAACAGATTTAAGCTTATCAAGATTGTCTGAGCTCCAGCTTGACAGGTAAAATAAACAATTCTGGTATACATGAAAATAGCTAAAGCTTCCCTTCCAGGGAGATTTCTACATTTTGACAGGTAACCCTTTAATCAGTTATGGCTTGGCTACAAAACAGGCTATTTGTATTTCAACTGGGGAAACATGAGACATAAATGCCAGGCATGTCTTCTGCTTAATCTCTGAACGTGTCCGGATCTGCAAAATGGCTCCCACCCTTCTTCAAAAGGAGAAAAATAAATCCCACCAGAATTTGTCCAAAGAATTCATTCTCTGGTGTAGATTGATGAAAATAGCCAGAGGGTAAAATACATTCATCGTGTCACTTAAAGCCCAGAATTGTGTCCTGTGGATATAGTTCTATGACAGCTAAAAGAAAAGAAAATGTTCAGGTAAATATCTTGAAAGTTTGGCAGCTCTAACAGAGGTATTTTTTTTTTAAAGGGGGAAGAGCTGCTGTACATTCTCTGAAGGTGGTCTTTGAACTAGAAACCTTTCTCCGTCTCTTTAAAAAAACAAAGGGAAGGTTCAGTGGCTTTGTCTGATGTTTAGCTCCTGGGATCAAACTGAAATTCCAATGTTATGTTTGCTTGACTTACTCCTGCAGCTAGAAGATCATCTGGAGATAAACTTGGAAGTAGTCTCTAGGCCAGAGAGTGGCAACATTTGGCTAGCTGGGGAATTCTGGGATTTGAAGTCCACAAGACATAGCCAAGGTTGAGCAACATTGCTTTAGGCCAGGGGTGTCAAACTGCCGGCCTGCGGGCCGGACGCATCACGACAAGACCGCGCCCATCCCATTGCCGGCAATGGGGAAAAAGTTCTGATACGTCACGCGACGTCACGTGATGCCGCGAGTTTGACATGTCTGCTCTAGGCTGTTCTTGCTGGAAGTTTATTTGGGTTCCGATGTATAAAAAAGAGAAGGAAGAGAAAAGCTGATCAGAACTTCCCTAGAGCAATTTGTTCCATTGGGATGGGTAAATTTCTGTCTTCAAGAATTAGTTCAAGACAGCAGTCCCAAAGCTGTAATTGTAAGGAGGGTGGGTGGGTGGGGGGAATGGCTTGCTTTGCAACAATGCCGGAGAGTTTCATTCCATTTCCTCAGCATCAAGGTTTGGCCGATTGCCCTGCAGAAACGAAAGCATTGCCCAGTCTGTGCCATGGAGAGTGGAGGACTCATTCCCAGCCTACACCGAAGTGTTCCTCTGAGTCTGGTAAGTGGGAGAAGCTTGCAGCATGTCTGGCAGGCTCTGCCTGGTTGATAACTCTGAGCCGGCTCCGGTTCTTGACAACGTGGCAGGATACCTCAAGGCCTGTTCATAAGGGGGCGGTAACTGTGAAGAGAAGATCAGGAACACGGTATATTTCCTGCCAACTGAGCTCCACGCTCCATTAAAGAATTATTAGAGGGGCAACATATTCACCAGCCACTACAACCAAATGATAGCTAGGTGATTTCAAGGCCTTGCACACATGGCTGAATAAAGGTGGAGACTGAAGCAGATATGAAGAAAACCTCTTACAATTATTGAATGGATTCTATTACAAAGATTGTTTGTAAATAAAGGTTCATTGACTTGGGCCTGCACATATTGTGCTAAGCCAAAAGAATTAATGGGTGCAAGCTTGATGCCAGGAATCAGTACAAGAACAAAGCAGTATTAGACTAGTTTAACTTCCCAGGATACTCCATTACAGATCTCAAAGTAGCTGTTTTTGCCAGCACAATTGACTGAGCAGCAGCTGAACTCCCATGCATCAAAAGGTTTCAGGTCATCTCAGAAAGCCTCAACCAGCCCAATGGATAAAAAAGCAGTTTTCTGTAATTTGTCTCACATATAATCTGTATCTACCCTAACCACCCTTTCTTTCCCCCATTGCACTCCAATTTAAATCCTGCCTCAATTTAGACACTCTGTGCCTCTGAACAAGGGAGCTGCAGTGCACAAAAGCCTTTGAATAAGATGTGTTCGTCTGAAGAGTTCTCCTGATTACTTCAAGGTAACATAATTCTTTTAAAATAAGCCAAACCTGGATATTGTGCAGACCCACTCATTATATCCATGGTTTATGGTTTGGAGCAATGGGTGATCTCAGCCTTTGCACGTCATACAAAAACAAGGCAATCCAGTGCAATGGACTTTCTGCATTCTTCCTTCTGATGCAGCTTTCATTTCCATTTCTTTGGTCAGCTCGCCTTAGAATATAGGCCTCTAGTCACCCTAGCACAGGGGTGTCAAACTCAATTTCATTGAGGGCCGCATCAGCATTGCGGTTGCCCTCGGGGGGGCTGGGGGTGTGTGGCCAGGGTGGGTACGGCCTACTGGGTGGGCGTGGATGGAGTGGGTATGGCCTAGTGGGTGGGTGGGCGTGGCCAGCTCTACATCATTCACGTCAAGGGTGCCTGTGGGGGCCTGGGCAGGAGTGGGACAGATCTGAGGGTCTCTGGCAGAAAGGGGTGGGACCAGGGCAGAGCCCATCAAGCCGGATATGTGAAGTAGGCGAGGGCCATTTGCTGGCCACTTCCAGGCGATGGTGCGTTTCTTCATTCCTCACAAAGGGCGACACCTCTCCAGCATGCACCCAGGGGGTGGGGCCGATGCGGCAGGGGCTGGTTCCTCGCTGATTCCAGACGGCCTTGTGGAGCTAAGACTGAATGCATTTCAGCATAGATGGCCACCACAAAATTGTACATTGGCTCCCGGCCAGCCTGGGCCAGGGCCAAGGCAGCAGGGGCCGTTCCCTCACTGTTTCCAGGATGGCTTCGCGGGCCACATGAAACCACTTCGCGGGCCGCATCCGCCCCCCGGGCCTTGTGTTTGACATGTCTGCCCTAGCAGCTTCTTTATACTTCTTTGTAATTTTTTAAATAAATTATTATTTTCTATTTTTTTTTCTATTTTATCTTTTCACTATTTACTATTTGGTTTATTTTTACGTTTTTTACTATGTTAGAAAATTTTTCAATAACAATATGATAGGATATAGTGTAATAAGTCACACTTACCAGCAACAGAAAGGAAAGATGTGGGGGGAAAAGCACTCAAGGTAATATATATATGTATATGTATATGTATATGTTTTCAAAATTTGGATTGCTAACAAAGAATTACGGGAGAACTGGAATAGCCATTTCAAACTTTTTAGTTCTTTTCAACCAGACATACCCTTCTGAGATTCGAACCTGGGCTGTCTGCATGTTAAGTATATGCATATGTATATGTACAGTATATGTATATGTATGTGTATATATATCTTTCAAGCACAGGAAATACATATTTCTTATGTGTGAAGTGGGTGTTTGTAAACATGCCAAATGTTTCAAAAAATTGTGATAGCATTTTCCCTTAGTTGTTGCAATTAAATTACCGAGCAGCTGAGCAAGTGATAAACTGCGCTGAAGGAAATGAAATAAACTGCAAAGCAGTGCAATACGATAAGCATCTAGCTTACAATATAATCCACCAGAAGTATGTCTATAGCTTTCTATTGGCATCTAAATGTTGTGTTTAAACACTTGTTACGTAAACTAGGATTGTCATCCAATGCTTTAATTATACTTAAGCTGTAATCCTACACCCATTTATTTGGGAGTAAGCATTTCTGAACACAAGGGAAACTCCGGTAAACATAGGTAAGGCTGTAATATTGTCCGTTAACAAAGGTACCTGCCTTTGCATGCAGAAAAGAACAAAAGTTCTGAAGCTAGAGTCATGCTTAGTTTTTAAAGGGTGCCAGTATATATGGTAGTGGATAAAAATAAAAGAAGGGGCATGCTATCTTGTATTTGCATACACACAAATGGTTTTTTTAAAATCTGGGCTACTATAATGAGGGACTCCTTTTTTATTGATTAAAGGTTTTAAACCTACTAATGGGAACTGACTGACTTAGGTTCTTTATGTTGTGGTTCCCGGAAATCTACCATCCCGGTAGGAGCCTTCTGATAAAATAAGCTTCTCCCCACACCAAGAGGAAAAGAGAATTTCTATCAGAAGGGCCAATATCCCCAGACATAACTCTTCCTCATTTCCATCACAACTTCCCACAAATCTTATTTTTCTGATGGAAAATAAGGATAGAGGAGAGGCTTTGGATCAAGAGAACTTAAAGACTTACCGTATTTGCTTTCACCCATACGTTCAAAGAGCTTCTAACCTAAGATAGGGTTTGGGTTTGCGTAATCACCTTCCTTTTTTTTCCAAAGGGAGAAACGGTGTTGATTTTTTAAAAAGAGGGAAAGCCAAATCAGAGATACTATATTCCTTGCTATGCCCAGCTGATTTGTTAGCAGCAAGAGCATGGATTCACTGGGATTGCAACACTAGAGCCTTCCGCAAACAGAAGGGACTTGTTTGGCAAACAATACTACCTTGCATTTTAACTAATAATTTCTGTGACAATTTTAGTGGGGGTGGGGGGAGAGACGATTCTTCCATAAGCCTTTACCCCTTTGTCTAGAAAACAGTTGATTAATCAGAGAACATGTTGGGTTGCATGAGAGATTTCAAAACTAATTTCATTTATATTTTTAAAAGAACTGTCTTCTTCTTGAAAGACAATGCACATCGGCATTAGCAATGAATCAGTGCAATAATAACAAATACATTAAAAATGGAATATTGTAATTCACAGACACATATCTGGCATCAATAATTCCCCATCAATGAGGTCTCAAAGGCATTCGGGAACAGCCAAGTTTTTATAAGATTTTACAGGTTTCTGGAAGGAAAACCTGTATATGTGTTGGCTGGAGCA